TTAATCTTGCCAACAATAATTTCAGTGGCCCGATTCCTGACGGTGTTAGCAATTTGACTAGATTGTGTACTTTATATTTGGAGAACAATCACTTATCTGGGTCAATTCCGGATATTGATTTGCCTTCACTTGTGCAATTCAATGTTTCTTTTAATCAGTTAATGGTTCGATTCCAAGAGCTTTATCAGATAAGCCTCAAAGAGCTTTTCTGGGGAATTCTTTATGTGGGAGTCCTTTGGTCTCTTGTAATGGTACCGAAAGTAGTGGCAATAAATTGTCTGATGGAGCAATTGCTGGTATCGTCATTAGTTGTTTGCTTGGTGTTTTATTGATTTTGATTCTATTGATATGTTTATGTAGAAGAAAGAGTGGTGAAAAAATGGATGAAACTCGGGAAAGGGATGCTGCCCCTGCACAGCAGCCAGTGGCTGAAATTCCTGGAGATAATGCAGCAGGGGAGAGTGGTAGTAGAAGTAGTGGGTTATCTGGGGTAGTAAAGAAGGAGTCTAAGAGTAGTGGGGTTAAGAATCTGGTGTTTTTTGAGAAGGCGTCGAGGGTGTTCGATCTGGAGGATTTGTTGAGGGCATCTGCTGAGGTATTGGGGAAGGGAACATTCGGGACGACATACAAGGCCACCTTGGAGATGGGAGTAGTTGTTGCGGTGAAGAGGTTAAAGGATGTGACGGTATCGGAGAAGGAATTCAAGGAGAAGATGGATGTAGTTGGCGCCATGGAACACCAGAATTTGGTCCCATTAAGGGCCTACTACTTCAGTGCAGATGAGAAACTCCTAGTTTACGATTACATGCCTATGGGAAGCTTGTCTTCACCTTTACACGGTGAGTATTTCTTTTGCATTATGTTTCTTGCTTCTATGATGGTGTTATCATTGCTGTTCTTCGTTTCGATTGCTGGAAATCGAATCTTAGCATGAATGTCTTTAGCAATCCTGCTCATTTCTGAATATCAATTAGTGTCGGATCCAACATTCCCCTTTGGAATTTCCATTAACATCTTATAGATGAATTTTCGCTATCATTAGAAATGATCATAGCATAAGTGGTACAATAGACTTCTATGGGATTCGTTGTTTTCCTTTATGTCTCACTGCGTTTTCTGAATTAGTCATTGAGCTGTTTGGGATTGGATAGTCATAAGTTTGGCATATTATTCAGGTAACAGAGGAGCTGGTAGGACTCCGTTGAATTGGGGTACGAGATCTGGCATTGCCCTTGGAGCCGCCAGAGGCATTGCATACCTCCATTCCAAGGCCCCCGAAATCTCCCATGGAAACGTCAAATCGTCAAATATCCTACTTACAACATCTTACGACGAGTATCTGATTTTGGTCTTGCTCAACTTGCTGGCCCTACATCGACTCCCAACCGTGTTGACGGCTATCGTGCTCCAGAAGTGACAGATGCTCATAAAGTCTCACAAAAGGCTGATGTCTACAGCTTCGGTATATTGCTTTTGGAATTGCTTACCGGAAAGGCACCCACACATGCCTTATTGAATGAGGAAGGCATAGACCATCCAAGATGGGTCCAGTCCATAGTTCTAGAGGACTGGACTGCCAAGGTGTTCGATCTCGAACTTCTAAGATACCAGAATGTTGAGGAGGATATGGTCCAGCTCTTACAGCTTGCCATTAATTGCACTGTCCAATACCCCGACAATCGTCCTTCAATGGCCGAGGTGACAAACCAAATCGAGGAGCTATGTCGCTCTAACTTAGACAAAGAGACTCGTTAAATCCGCGATGCATATGATTGATCTTCCCAACAGGCTTCCTCAGCTCAGACAGGTGATCCACCATAATTCATCAGAAAAGGGATGAAAAAAGAAGAAAAAACAACAACAATCTTTTATTTATTTGGCCCGTTTCCATTAGTCATAGAAAGAGTTGTTATAGTTTGTGTATTCTTGGGTTCATTGTCTTTGAGAACAGTTGCATTTTTCCTTCAATATTTGCTTATGATTTTTACATGATTGTGTGAAGTGTGAATAACTGTCTATACCTTTTGAGTTGACGAATGATTATGATTTTCAGCCTCGACGTATGATTTTACGTCAGATGTATGAACTTAGAAGTTATATTAAAAATTTAAGAGTACGAAATTAGACTATTAATAAAAAAAATACAAAGAAAATATTTAAATTATATGAAAATTTGAATTTTTCAAAGGGTATAAAATTTAAGCATGGCATGACTTATTATTATTTTTAGATTCGAATTCAAACATTATAAATCGAGATCAAGGGAGAAAAGGCCGGCTTTAAAGATCATGCTAACCATATTCCTTTATGATAGTTAATACATAAAATAGTATTTTTCCTCAAAATTGTGGTATAATGAATGAGTATAAATACGGAGTAGATGGGCATTATTTTATACAGTTGCCGAATTTGTTTGGATATTGATTGTTTCCAAAAGTTTGTTTAAAATGTTTACTAAGAATTCAATGGTACAACTCGGCATATTTTCTTTTCTTTAATAAATTGCCAAAGATGCTTAATTTTCATTTATATTTTGATTTAACAATAAATAAGAGTAGGTGTGCATTAAATCTCCATTTTGGGAGTCCTAGCCATGTCTTTTGCAAGTGTTTAATATCATTTATAAGCCAATAAAAATATTTTAAGTCATTTTTATTTATTTATACACTGTTAATAATAATAACTAATTAATATAGTAATTAAAATAATTCAAAGTCTATCTTTAAAATTGTTGAATTAGATTGGTAAAATGATAAAGGGTTAACTACACGTTTAGTATCCAAATTAATACTTTTGTTCCGTTTTTGTTATTCAACTATTTTTTTAAATCATACATAATGTTATGTTTTGATTACAAACCATTAAAAATTAATTCAACTACAAAACGTGACATTTTTTTAGTTTTTTCAACGTGATATTATCTTATGATAACTTGACAACATTATTGTTAATATTTTAAGAACGAATTGACCAAAATGACATAAAAACTAAATGTTATCATTATAAAATACTAAAAAAAGTGAAGACAAAAATTTGCATGTAATATATAATTTATCAAAATTTATATAAATAAAATTTTTATCATTATAATATTAATGTATTAGATATAGATTTAGAATTTCTTTGTCCTTATTTTTAAAGGAATCAAATGATAAATTTATTATCATGACTTATTTTTAAAGGAATCTAATGATAAATTTATTATCATGACTTATTTTTAAAGAATTTGAATGGTTCTAGATTAAATTTGCAGAATCTATGGTATTTCTTGGCGTAAAAGACACTAGATTTCGTGTTTAGAGGTCAAAAAGGAGTAAACTGAATATTTTGGATCATCAGTGATAATGGTTGATGGTGGCCGATGACGTTGATGAGCTATGGACGCCGTCAAGAATTTCTATCTGATTCAAGAGTTAATTTGGTATTTTATCTAAAGTACAAAGATTAAATTAGTATTTTATTTAAAGTTTAGAATTCAAGTTAAAATTGAAATAGTTTTACTAATGTGTGACATCATCAAACTAACTGAAATTAACGATCGAAGGACCAAAATATAATGAACCGATAGAGTAGATGACCAAAAAATTAATTTTTAGAAATCAATTATCAAAATAAGATAGACTAAAATCAGAAGGGATCACAAGTGAAGTTTACTCTTAAAATATTCTCCTACCTAAAATGATACGACACGGAAGTGACGTAGGCCAAACACGAACCACACAACTGACGGCTACAGCTTGTTAAAACAGGATGCTGATTGGTCAACTTATATCACGTGACGCTGTCTTCCAATCATATAGCGTAAGTTAACTGTTGTGTGCTCTACTCACTTTCATCAACACAAAAACCCTTAAACAACATACTAATCTCTCAATTGCAGGCAAATTTGCTTGGATAGGACATTGAGAAAAAAGAATTTTTTTTTTCATTTAGGGTGATATAGATTTTATTCTCCTAAATAGGGTAAAATATTATAGTACTTTAGGAAGACATTAGATCATTCGGTGTTTCGGCGTCTTTATGTTTGCTTGTTTGAGAAAGATGTCGAGTTTTTCATACATATTCAGTTGAAGACATCGGGTGATCCTAGCATCTTTCCAAAGCACTGTAAAAATTATCTATTTGAGAAATTAAAATCTGCACCACCCCTATACAAAAATTCATTTTTTTCAAAACCCTATTCAAGCAAATTTGTCCTCAATTGCAAGAACTTTATGTTAGTTATATTAATAATATAAGATAGTGTAATTTTATTTAATTAATCACAGATATATGATCTATTGACCGATTAAATCATATAGAATTTTGTAGAGGTATATTATGAGGGCGACCTCCTAATCCATTTTAATCAATCCACAAACATCATAATTTAAATATTGATCTTACTTAAAGAATATAGTGTCTTATCCTAATAAACGAATCGACTCTCGTAAGATAGTGTGAATTTAAAAAGGGTTGCGTGAAAAAAGGAATCCATACGAGAATTTTATGTTGAAAAGTTTTGGGCCATTCTTGCATCATATTTGATTTCATTAACATTACAATTATAATTATGTTTATCTTATTTTTTTAGGATTATATTTTCTCAAGGAAATAAGACTTTGAATAAGTCGATTACTTGGAGGTAAAGGAAGGAGTGTTTCCTTGTTTTCCAAGTAGCTTATGCCTATATAGGTAATTATGCATTGTATTTTAGAGATGTAATGGGGATTTAAGTTTCGTAAAATCTAACTATTACTTTGTTTATTTCTTAATTATTCATGTTATTGGATATATAAGTTATCAAAAGATGTGGTTATCAAATTTATCGTTATTAACGTGAATCAAGTGATCTCAATGGTAAAAAAATTGTTGTTGTTCCTTGAGATCTCGAGTTTAAGCACCATGAATGTTAGAGGTATGAGCGTTCAATTTCAAATGGTTGAGAATTATATATAAACATATATTACCTATTTATTCACTAATTAGATTAAAAGAGGATCATAACACTATAATTAAAGTTACATAAGCGCAAGATCATCTACAACATAATAACCATCTAATATTTAAAATTACACCCAAGACCCCATTGAAGAATGTTTGGTCTTACACAAAAATTCACAATACAGTCCCTTAGATATTCAATAATGTCTTCTTAGTCATAAATCTGTACAATTGCAGCAGAAACAAAAAATCAAAGCCTCTTTTAATCTATGCTATGCTACTAATTATGCAAACTATACGAGTTTTAGCTATTATTCTATAACTCTCATTCAAATCTTAGAAAAATGATTTATACCCGAGTTTTGTAAGGACTTGGTAGTTCACCTTGGTCCAGAGAGTTCCATGGCTTGAACAAGTAACGAAGAGTCGTCGGTGAGATCGGAATATCGGTCCGATGACGAGAATTCCTGGGGAGGCTTGCATTTTGTTGATTCACTTCTTTGTGAAGCTTCCCATCTTTCAGCTAAACCATCACCTTCGAGCATTCGAACCACTTCGGACATTTTCGGCCTATGGCCTGGAAGGTATTGTGTGCATAATAATGCTACTTGAACCATCTCTTCGAGCTCGATTCGGTCGTAGTTGTTCTTGAGATCCTTGTCAACAAGCACTTCAAGCTTCTTTTCCTGATGAATTTTCCTTACCTGCAATTGGTAATTCATGTCAAATTCTAGTGTTCAATTCATGGCAATTCAAGCTACATTACACAAGTATCGGACACGATTATATATAAAAAATGAAGAATCTGAATAATATAGAATTCAAGAATTTGAGGCAAGAAAATTAGGCATGGTGCATTAAACATCTATTGATAAGAAAAGTCTTTGGATGAATAAGACATGTATTTTGGCAAAAGAGTGGTGGAATTTCGATTAACCATAGACGACCCTTGGCTTGGTTGATTTGTGCTGAGAATTTCCACGTACGGCATAGACAACATGGACTAATCGTGACTCCAAATCGACCAACCTTGGGGGAAGGGTAGATGAAAATGGAGGAGTCCATGATTAGGCACTATGTGATAGGGTGAGGGAGAATATGCGCTAATCGTCATCGAATAAGAAAGAAAGGTCTTTGGATGCATAACGGTGCATTGCACATCCCACGTCTTTTGGGAAGAAAGAGATGACTAGTGATGCAAATGCATGGTAAAACATAGAAAAATACGAACTAGCCATGTCGGAAACAAATTCATATTTGACACCCTCAAGCCCGAGTAGTCTAAACAGAAATTATACTCACCCAATCAAGCATTGCTCCTTTCTGGTTAGCAGCCTTGCCAAATTCTAGTGCTCTTTGACCTGTGATTAACTCAAGCAAGAGAATTCCAAATCCGAACACATCTGTTTTGTCTGAAGACTGGCCAGTGGAGAGGTACTCTGGAGCAATATGTCCCACGGTGCCTCTCACAGCTGTTGTAACATGTGAATCCTGGTGATCCAAAAGCTTGGCTAACCCGAAATCTCCAACCACTGCCTCACAATAATCATCGAGCAATATATTTGCTGCTTTGACATCCCGATGGATTATCTTTGGATCGCATTGCTCGTGAAGGTATAGCAATCCCCTGGCAGCTCCGAGAGCAATTCGCTTCCTGGTGCCCCAATCCAATGCCGGTTTGCCTGTCACAAACAGCACAGGTTCAGTTCATCTACTGAAATACATCATTGCCAAGTTATGGCTTATACAAAATCTGGGAACTCTTCTTATGTTACCTTTGAGACGAGATGCAACGCTACCGTTCGACATGTATGGATAAACAAGAAGTTTCTCTGTGGATGTTATGCAAAATCCGTAAAGCCGAAGAAGGTTCCGGTGCACTGCAAGGCTGATCATCTCAACTTCAGTCTGGAATTGAATCTCTCCACCTGCTGCATTACCGTCTTTAAGCCTCTTAACGGCTACTATTGTTCCATCTTGCAGAACTCCCTTGTACACATTCCCGAAACCACCTTTTCCTAGAATATTCTTGCTGCTGAAGTTATGTGTTGCAATCTGAAGTTCCCTGAATTGGAACCGCCTCAAGTTTCCCAGGGAAACTTCTTCGTGATGCCGATCTGAAATACAAAACGAAAAGACACCACTCACAAATTTTAGTTAGCCATTGATGAAGACCTTTTTGTAGTAAGCTTCACAATTTCAAACCTTTAACGTCAAAGAAAATCTGTTCATTCCGCCTTCGTCTCCACCATAGTAGTATTCCAAGTATAAGAAACATCAGAGACACGCATCCGATGCTTGAACCAAAGGCAATGGCTATCTTATGACTTTGGGATCTGCCCGAAGGCCGAGCATCTTGACAACGAAAGAGAGTCCAAGGCAGTTAAATCATTAGAGTACGTAAGCAAAAAAATCAAAATTTCAGCTTCGTAAGTTAAAAATCCAAAACCTTGTGTGCTGTTCAAGTTCATGGACATTGGCATCAATGTCATCCCATTGCATTCTGGTTCAACTCCAGTAGGACAGATTAAAGGATTCCCCACTATGCTGCAATAAAATGATAAAGGAAAAAAGTTTGTCAACCTAATTTTCGGGAATTACGGACATATGGATATGAGATCATGACCTCTAAGGATCTCCAAACACATGGAAGAACTTAGAAAATCTGACCATACCCATGTTGTGAATATATTTGTATCCGACATTCACACTCTAGTGCAATTAACATAAGACTTAAGAGAAGATTAGATGGAAGAATATACCTGAATGTTTTAGCAGCAAATCTGGGCACTGGTCCACTCAGATTGTTGTATGACAAGTCACTGAAATACAAAATATTTAAACACATGGAATCATATTTCAATAACATACACATAATTGATCTAAGAGGAAAACTAGAGGAATTAAAGAGGCTTACAGGAAGGCAAGCTGAGTCAGGTTAGCCAAAGACAACGGGACTGCACCGGAGAGACTGTTGTTGTTTAGCCTCCTACAATCAAAATTTGCAACCCTCATATGTTAAATTTAATCTGAAAGTAGCTCCGGCACCGGCATGATCGTCGAACATGAGTATGTTCAATTTTCAATTTTGCTTTTCAACATCAAACACCAAACATAACTTACATGTATTGGAGGGTCCTTAGGTAGCCTAAAGATGTAGGAACTTCTCCAGTAAAGGAATTATCAGAAAGATCAAGTGTTTCAATCTTTGAAAGCTTCCCCAGCTCCGAAGGAATGGGTCCAGTTATGTTATTATTCTGCAATAGCCTGCAAAAAGTGGGTTCATATCGTCATTAATATTAGAATCCAGGTACAAAATTCATGCATTCAATGCATTTGATTTTTTTACTCACACAATCCGAAGATTTGTCAAGTTCCCAATGCTTGGAGATAACGAACCAGATAGATTCTGGCTTGGACTGCCCCTGAAACAAAATCAGTTTCATTCATTCAACAACAATTCCTTAACTGTTGTCATAAATTTTAAGGCTGTAAGAAGAAGAAAAAATCTTACAGGCCAATGACCAGGCTTTCAGGTGAACAAGTAACCATTGCCCAACTACATGGATCAACGGCATCGGCATCCCAATTATCAAGAACACCATGAGGATCATGCAGAGCCTCCTTTATTGCCATTAAAGCTTGCACTGAAAAAGAAAAACACTGATGATCAGAATATCTCAGTTAATGATAAAAAAACCCAAAGAAGAGCAAACTCCCCCTTGTTTTTTACCTTCATAGTTTACACCTTTAGGAGAAAGCAATCCATTAATAGGAGCCCAAAACCATAAAAAAACCATGAGATAAAAATCCACTTCTTTTCTCCACATTGCCATTATCAACCTCACCAGGAGAAGCAAGAAAACAAGACAGTTTTTCAAGGTTGTGTGTTTCCAAGTCTCAACTGATAGTGTTATCAGAAAACCCAAGTTTGAATAGAGAGACTTAGATCAGAGCAAAAGCCTCATTATTTGCTGCTTTCCATGCCATTCACTCAAACCTTGTGTCAGACCCCAAGGCCTAAAATAAAAGGTTAAAGAGAAAGAAAAAGAAAAAGAGAAAAAGGTTAAAGACATAGATTTATTGGTTGTAGTAGAAAGTAGAGTGGCATGCATTTGCCTGTTACCGGGACAGACAAGAGAGGTGTAAGAAAAAAAAAAGGAATTTTGAATACTCACAATCTAAAAACAACAAGACTAAACCAAATCCCATGGTTTATATTCCAAAGACAAGAACACATTAGGTAATTCCCAGGATTTTTTAAATGAATTTCATCATAATTCTCCACCTCCAACAGCATTTAATGGGCAGAGAAAAAGAGTACACATAAGAAATAGTAAAAATAATACCTGAATTATTCCATTACAGATAAAACCTTGAATTATCTCAAAGAGGGGCGTGTTTATATATTTTATTATTTACTTTTGAGCTGCGAGTGTTGTTTTTTTTTATAAAATAATTTGCTTTGTTGAAGATTCCAACACCTTTCTCTTTTTATAAATTAACCATTCAGCAGACAGTCATTCTTTGATGACACTGTTAAAAAAGAAGGAAACTTTTAAAAGCAAAAGCTGCCAATGCCATCCCTCTCTCTTTCAAACGCACTCATGGCGCGTGCAATCTTCATCCTTTTTTCTTTCTTTCAAAATTTTAATTATTTTAAGTTTTTACCGAATAATTTACTATAATCATTAAACAAAACTAGTAACTTAAGATCACATAATAACCATACAAAAAAATTAAAATCTAACCAAGAAAATTAGAATAAAGATAGATACAAATATATCTAATCACATCAGTAAACGAATTACAAAAGGGGATCTAACTACTGAAAGACTGCTGACAAATAGTAAATCAGCCTCGAGCGATGTGAAAAGCTATCCACGATCGCATAATAAGTATTCAAATCTAATTCGATGGTCCAAAGGAGGTAAAATCAATAATATAACAAATAAGTGTCATCTTGATCAGTCGTGACGATATCAAATCAACCTTTAGAATAAGATAAGCGAAAAATAACGATCAAACAGTCGAAAAAATGTGCCAAAATCCATAAGAAAATTTGTCATAAAAGCATATGAAAACATGTAATATATGCAGACTTATTGAAAATAAATAAAAAATATATAATATAAGAAAATAAAAAAATACTGACAATCGACAACTAATATTAAAGTTTGTACCACCGCCAATCAACAAAGACAAAAAAAAAAGTGACGAACGATTTACCAATAAGAGAAAACTAGGAAAAAAAAGTAGACGAAGCAGTCTTTTCTGAATATATCTTTAAAACTATTAAAATGTACATAGTAGTATGTTAAGAATAAAATATGATCATACAAGGAAAAATTCATAGCTTAATCAAATAATTATGATAAATGATAGATAAAAGTAAATATCATTATCGAGATGAATAATAAATACTATCAATATGAACATTAGATAAAATAATAATGATGACTCATTGATAAATTAGTCTTAACATGATTTAATCGTGATTTATTTTTGATGATTATAAATATTTTTTAATATATATTTTAATGGTCTAAATTATAAATAGATCAATAAGATAAATTAATAAATGCTATATGAAGACACAAGTGTCGAATCTAATCTAAAAAAATAGTTATTATAAAAACAAACAAAATTAATTAATTAAAGTTTTTATGAGAGTTTAATTAAACAAAAAAAAAACAATATTATTTAAAATAAAAATAATATAAAGTCTAAATAAATAAAGAAAAGGAGATTAGTCGCGAACCGTTGAGGAAGAAAAATATATAAAATAAAAAACAACGTAACAGAAAAAAATAAAACTAAAAGAGAAAAAAAATAACTTAAAAGCCTTTATGAGTTAATTTAATTTTTATAATATATATATTATTGATCCATCTTAGATGAATTAGGTTAATTTTTTTTTATAATTTAAGCTAGTTAGGCTTAAATAATATTATATATTATAGAGGGACGGAGTCAAGATTCTAATTCAATGAGGTAAGGTGTAACTAATAATAAAAAAAGGACAAAATCAAAATAAACTAAAATTTAAAGGTCTAAATCGGTATTTATCCCTATATATTTTTCAATAAGAAAAAAGGGGCAGTGGCATTCCAACCCTATACATAACTTCGTCCCTAATATTATATACAAGGAGTTTGTTGATCGGTGAAGTAAGAGACGTACGCAGGATTTTATATTAGAAGATGCGAATTTATTAAAATTTTAAAGGGATGAAAACATATTTTCAATAAAAAATACAAAAAAATATCTAAAATATATAAGAATTTGAAACTTTTTGGGGGACGACCACCCCCACCCGTCCCCCTCTAGGTCCATCCCTGGATGAAATTACCAATAACTGTTGAGGGTGGTAAAAGACAGTAAAAAGATGTTTCTGATGGTGATTCAGATAACTTTTGGGATGCTGGTGGTTTATAGTGGAGATGTGTGCTTGCCTTCTGCACCCCAATAGACAGGTATTTATAGGTGTCAGTTAAGAGTTGTCGTGTTCAAAGACGGAGTCAGGATTCTAATACAAGGGGACAAGGTATAACTAACAATAGAAAATAAAAGGGGAAAATAAACCAAAATTTAATGATCTAAATATGTATTTATCCTTATATATTTTTTAACTATAAAAATTAGGGTTAGTGGTCCCCAACCCAATACATAGCTTAGACTAGAAAATCGCGTGTGTCAACACATGGTCACCGATGATGTTATAAGAGTGTGTCACAAAAACATTAGGTGGTCGACACGTGATTACTTGCAATGAGCATTATGCGTGTATAAGAGTTTTTCTTACGTTCACGTCCCCAAAAGTAGTTTATATGGAAGATCGTAGAGACGGAGATTTGCTTATAGACGATCATAAGCAGGTAATAATTTGATTAAAATGAGAAAGGTGTGCAAGATATTAAGGGACAAAACCACAAGGAAGAGCAGGACATAATTGTCCCAATCTCTTTCATTTTCTTTCCTTCACCTCTCAATATCCCACAGATGGTAAAGGGTGAAGTGGACAAGATAAATTAAGAGTAGCAAGGCTGTGCCTTCTAACCCTTTCTTCCTTGCTTTGTCTCTTGTCCTATTATTTTTCTATAAAGTAACAGGACTGTGCCTGTGGGCGCATTTTTAGTCCTTTTTAAGATTGATTTTTAATGCGTTTAACGTATCCGTGGCCTTCTCATTTCACGTGGCATTTTTTGGTTGGATATGCAAATATTGAACCTTTTTAAATATATATTGACACAATGAAGACATCACCACCATGTAAGATTGGCAACTTAGATTTTTTTTTTAATTGAAAGGAGGATAAGCAATTACATTAGACATGTCTTGAACGGGCAAAAAGAGGACCTGAGATATCACGGTCTAACAAAACAAGAAGCGAATCAAGAGTTAAAGTATAAAGGGTCAGACTATCCGACATGTTTATATCCACTTTGGAGAAGAAATCTGATGTCATGTTTGCCTCTCGTCGAATGAGTACAAAATCAACCATCTACACTCGATTCATAAACCTAGCAACCTCACGCACCAAGGAGTAAGGACCTTCTGAGGAGGCATTCTTAACCAAATGAAAGACGTCCGAGCTGTTGGTAATGCTCAATCCCACATAGTATTGGAAATACTATTGAGAATGGGTATTTATGGTTTGGATTTTCTACTTCCTTGTTAGTATTGGAAATACTATTGGAAATACCATAGAAAGACTCATAGTGCACATTCCTACTTCCTATCCTTATGACGAATAATGTGCATGCTCAGGATGAACTTAAGTGCTCTTAATAAATTCATAGCCCATGCTTTGGGTGGTCTTAGTGAGAAAGACTTGATGAATTTACCGATTTTGACTGAATATCTATTCTTAATAAGTTTATAACCCAATTTGAGTGGGTATTCCTAATTGAGAAGAAAATAGTGAACTTATCAACATAAATGTTGAGTTTGTTAAACTCTTAATAAATTCAAATCCAAGTATTTGGATGGTTCTAGTGAGAATGACTTATTGAATTTACCAATAAATGAGGTTGAATATTTATTTTTAATGACTTCTTATCCCAGAGTTTGGGTGGTTCATTTATAATAAAATTGAAGAAAGTCACCATACTCTTTGTGAGGTTGAGCTTTTATAAAAGCTCTTAATTATTTCATATCCCTGTTAAGGGTGGTTTATATCGATATAAACTTGATGAAATAACCTATGTAAGTGAGAAGGGTTAGCCGCCTTCTATGAAAAATGTTGGGCCATTTTTCTAGCACACTTACTAGAATCCTGAGGTAAGATGGCCAAATATATACTTTTGTATATATATATATATTACACATCGAGGACTCAGGTCGATGAAGGGGTTAGCTGTGTGTTATGAGTTTACCCCCATCTTAGAAAGTTCCAGACTAGTTTCACTTATCTAAGAGAATGATTGCTCATTATCATTATGTACTAGTTCCAGATACGTTCACTAGTGCTTAAGCAACTAATCTCGTTATTGCTCTTATGGAAAGTTTGTTTTCGAGTTTCAGAAGAATTCTTTCGCATTAGTGGGGGAATGTTGGTAATGCTCAATCCCACATAGTATTGGAAATACTATTGGGAATGAGTATTTATGGTTTGGATTTCCCACTTCCTTGTTGAGTGAAAGAGAACAAGGGGGACTCTCACGCACCGACGCCGTCCGTCTCGTCTCGGCTCGGCTCGTGGTCGTGGTAATACGTGTCTTCGAAACGTTCGCGCATATACTATCTTTTTAGAGAAAATTCTTGAGGAATTTCTCTTTGAAAGAAACAAATGGAAAAATGTGAAAGATTTCAACTGATATTTATAGGCTGCTGAGGACTGTTTAAATTTAAATGATAACAGCTGGTTTATGAGAGTTATCAGAAATTAAACAACTTTTCCTAAATTAAATAAAAAACGTTAAGATGTATCTGGACTGATTTTCAACTTTGTACAAAGGGGGCAAGCTGTTAATATCAGGAGTTACATGAGTTATTTGATTTAATTCCAGGGGTTACATGATATAATTTCGGGAGTTATAACAGCTGAATAATGACGCAATGAACCTGGACTATTTCTGAGTCAGGTTCATCTAGACGTTTTAGCTGTTACAAAGAAGATATT